TGTGACTACAGGTTAACACTTACTATTTTCAGTCAATCCTCTGCACACTGCTTTACACTTTTACACACATCTAGCAAAAGTTGTATATAAGCAGGAATTCTTGGTTGCGTTTATTGCAATACATTTGCAAACTATTTGCCCCATATTGGCACTATATGCGTAACCTTTTGGTTACACTAGGTCAGTGATGGCAAACCTTGCTGAGCCTGAGTGCCCAAACCTGGATCACTAAACCAACTTATGTGTCTCAAAGTGCCAATCCTGCACTTAGACCGGAATACTGATGATTTCTTTTAGAAAAACACTTCATACGACTGTCTGAACTAATTATGTGCTTAAATCTTTGAAGAAAAATACAATACAAGAGGTTTTAACTACACTACAGAGTGACATGTACGTTTCCCACTGTGCTAATGAGGAAGCAGAGAGGGCCCCGCGTGCCCTCCCTGGCACGCATGCCCTATGTTCTCCGCCAGTGCACTAGGTGCTTCTATTTGCTGTTGAGCTGGTAGAGTAGCTACTGGCCAGAGCAAGTTCACTTTTAAGAGTTGACCAGCATAAACATATTTAGCTATACAGGTGAAACTCGAATAATTAGAATATTGTGCAAAAGTAATTGCAGTAAGTGCTGCAAAAGGGGCCCAAACCAAGTACTGAGTACATATGCATGCTTATACTTTTCAGAGGTCCGATATTGTTCTATGTACAATCCTTGTTTTATTGATTGCATGTAATAATCTACTTTTTTGAGGTTGTGGATTTGGGGTTCTTGGGGTTTTCATGAGCTGTAAGCCATGATCATCACAATTATGACAAATCACGGCTTGAATTATCTTGCTATGCATGTAATGAGTCTATCTCATATATTAGTTTCACCTTTTAAGTTGCATTAGTGAAATAAATGAACTTTGCACGATATTCTAATTATTCGAGTTTCACCTGTATATGTGAACCTCTGGTTTTCTAGAAGTGTGTAAGAGTGTTCAGTTTCCAAGTGGTAATTACAAATGTTAGCTTGTAAATTTGTCTTTAATTTGCTAACTTAAGTGCATGGAGCCCTGTCCTGCCTTTGATGTCTTCCGTTGGTCAGTGATGCCATTCATTGCAGAAATGGATTATTAGGTAGGTCAGGACCAGAAGAGTTCTATGGGTACAGGCAGGCACTGCTAGACCCCCTGCATTTTGTTCTGCTTTTGAAAAAGCTACAAGGAGATGACAGGTTTACTTTAAAGCAGACCTACAATTTAAAAAAACAGTGTTTGCACAATGACGAGGGAACAGTGCCCTTTTTTTTTTTTACTTTTTTTGTACTAAAGGTATTTCTTCAAAGATGTTGGACATTGGGTTTCCACTAGGGGAAATGCCAAGAGTTTGTTCAAGCAGCTGGCTTTCTCTGGCTGAATGATATTATCTTAACATATTTCAGCAGAGAAACTGGTTACAGAACTCAAGCAATGCCTGTATTCCAGCACATTTTAGGACAAATAAGGTGTTTTTCAGCTTGTGTGTTTACTTTAAAGGAAATATGGTGAGACATATGTAGGCTGCCATTGGTGACCTTTAGAAAAGACCATTTGCTCAAATGTCTCGGTGAGCCTCTGATTTTACTACTTTTGAGTCACGGGCCCAGGTCACTGGAGACATCCAGATAGGTAGGTTTTTTTTTTTTGTTGTTTTTAGAAATGATGCAGAAAGGTCAGCCTCCATATTTCTACAAGTACAGGCTTCCCATAACACATAGGTAGGGACCCTTTAGCCGAATGAAAAGCTCCTGCATACCCTCGCAGTTTTGTAAAAAGATCTGTAGAAAGTAATTGAAAGGTTTTGTGGTCTGAGCTGGTAAGTTGCTCTATTTAGCATCTTTGTATGATGTCCAGGGAGGCTTCACCTTTCTCTGACTCTTTGTTGCTCTACAATTCAGTACAGAATCCTTCTCTACATCAGCCAACAGCAGCCGGTAACCTCCGTAAGGGTCCATCCTGGCTTTGTGTTTACGGTATGTATTATTTTTACGAGTCTCCGCTAAATGTTTAAGTTGGAACCGTTGGTAATATACATATGTTGACTGGTTCACTTGGCCAAGAATGTATTTTCAATCCTGTTGAGCCAGCCGTGGGATTAACACACTTCTTAGCTCCACTACGTAGGCAGTTTGGTGACGCTGTATTATAAATATAGATTTTTGGGGCTGTCCTGCCTTTGTATACACATCGCTGACACTATTCCCAGCTTCTTTGAGGGGAGCCCAGAGTACTGGGGTGATGTAGAGAGTCAGTAAGCTTGTATTACTTGAAAGTTTAGGTTTTTTTTCCTGGATTCCCTGTAATGTTCCAGATGTGTCAGGTTTTTATCTATATTGTGCCCCGAGCTGAGCAAAGAGAACCTGACCTTAAGTAAACATTTCACTAGCAGAATAAGGACAAGGGTCTGTGCTGGGGAGAGCAGGTGGTGCATTCTCTGTAAGGTTGTACAATTTGGTGCTTTCTTTTCTTTATTTAACAATTACATCTGATACAGCTGAACTCCAGACCAATAATAACATCTTTGAGACCGTAAGTATTCTGAGCGTTGGGTTCAGTAATCCCAAATAAGCAACAATAAGCGACGCCACAAAGTTCTATAAATGGCAAATTTTACAGTTTCAGTAAAGCGGTGGGGACTCTTGCTGTACATATATCCATGTTAATGCTATTAGCCTTTTCTTTTAGATTACGCTTTTTGTTTTAAACAAAATTGGCCGCAACTGTACATCTTTTATCAAGTAGAAATGATGCATGGGATATGCCTGGCTGTGTCAGTTTGAGGTTTCTCCAGCAGCTGTCTCTGCTTTTCTCTGTTCTGGTTTTATCAGTAACGGCAAGTATGACTTTTCATATTCCAGGTCCAACTCAATAACTATGCTGCCTTTTATGATGATCAGAGACAGAGTTGGTCTATCATGTTTGAGTCAGAAGCGTCAGCGTTGGATTTCAGCAAACAGGTACGGCCTCCCTAGTATAATACCAGATATTCATATTGAAGATAGAGGATGACTCTGGAGACGCACAATTATCCTGTCAGATTCCATCATATGTACAGGATAATGGAAGAGAAAAGTAAAGTTTTGGGATGTAAACCTTTGAGCTATTAGTCAAAGCTCAGGGATCTGTGGCAGAAGTTTAGGCCAAGTACACATCTCTGTAGAAGAAGAAAAAAAGGATTATTCTGTTCCTTCGTTGCTGCCAGCCTTCTCCTTTTTTTTTCTTTTATCTATCTTATCTATCACCTTTTGGGGGATAAGGCTGCCTACCTTTAAAGGACCTTTACGCTCTTTCATTAAAAGTAACATCAACATGCAGCTCTGCATGCTTATATGAAATCTTACATTCATTAGTTAAACAAACATGTTTTTCATTTACTTACAAATGGTTAATCCACTTCCTGGTCTATTTTGGCACAAATGATGTAATCGTGCCCAGGCGTTACATCCTGGGAAGATTTCATCAGCAGAGCATTGCTGGGAAATCTCATGAGATCTCAGGGAAAGGCATTTTCCTCCCCTTAGATGTGCTTGGTTCACATGTCCTTGTCACATTTGCCAGAGTTCCAGGAAGTGAAGGGAAATGGATTCATCTGCCCTTAGTTAAAATGGCCACTGTGAGAAGAATGGGAAAGAAAAGAGAAATAAGATGTACAACAAATAAAAAGCCGGCAATGATCTAGAAGTATGTGTTTTGTAGGTTGTCATTACTAAGCATTTCTAAATGTGTATTTGTTATTTTCAATGTATGGGTAACGTTCCTCTTTAAAGCTGGTCCTTTCTGAATGAAGCCTCAAACGAAGTCAGCTGATAATGGATCAGTAAATGTGTGTTTAAATATGTACAAAATCAATTTAATTTACTTTCAAAGTGTAATTTGTGCCAGGCTATGGACATTTTAATATTTAAATGTCACCCCTCCCCCTTCAAGCATTCTAATCTGTAATGTGAATATAGAGCAGGTGCTCTGGGAAGGGGAGCAGAAATAGCAGACCTCAACAAGTCGGTCCCCCTGCTGTAAAATTTTAGGATGTATTTCACCACAGTGCCTGGAGCTGGTGTTTTCCTGCCCCCGGTCCCCGTACATTATCCTGACATAGTGCAGATGACAGCACCAGTACATGAGAGCAAAGAAGCAGAACCACACACACATCCTGGTAGTGTCTGCTCAGCTTTGATTTTCGCTCCAAGCATTGCTTAGATGAACCACCGATGCTGCTTTATTACAACAACCTGGTATTATAAAGAGCTGCCTGCACAGCCCGGTGATTTTTGTAAGATTTAAGAGTGAAAAATGTATCCTTGTTAAGTGTCATTTTATGTCCTCCTCTCTATATAAATATTTCACATTCTTTCTCCTCACAGGTTTGCCTTGCCAGGTGTAACAGTGCCTCCTCTCTAGATGTGGTGTTATCTCAGGATCTGACCCCTGGTGATGGACAAGCAGCTGATATGGGTGATCTACTGGAAGTTGCTTACACAGGGTGGCTGTTTCAGAACCATGAAATTGGCCAGGTACATTATATAGTTTTGTTCATCAGCAATGAAAATCGGGTTCTGTCAAATTGAGAAAAGTAAAAGCAATTGTACTAATACTTTTATACTCAACTTAGTTTTGTGCATGACAGATTTGACTGATACGAGCTGTAAGCTGGTATTGTACAAGCACACAAGCAGATGTTGAAAAAGTCAGAGTTTTAATCTGACCACAATGATAGCAAAAAACATATGTATTCTTTACTACATGGACTTTCTAAGGCTCATTTCATACTAGTAGTCCTGTTGCTGGCAACAGATCGCCCAAGACAAAATAGATAAGAGACCACTCGCTTTCTCCTATGGCTTTGCTTCCTCGCTGTTGGAACCTGGAAAGTGTCACTCTCTTGCTTCTTTACTGCTTGCATTTGAAATTCTGTAGCAGACCAAAGGAATGACCTGTGAGCAAAGTTATACTTTGGCGATTCGCCATTGTGACATCAGCCTAACCTCACCTCACCCTTGCACTGTTCCTGAAAAGTCCCAAAAATTCACAGATTCATTTTCCGATGTTTTTTTTTCTTTAATGTTGAGCAACTTTTGTTTTATTTTCAGATGTTTGACTCCAACTTACAAAAGGACAAAATGCTGCGGCTAAAACTCGGATCTGGAAAAGTGATCAAAGTAAGTTTATGTGCTTGTGATGAACGATGATGTGTGTCATTCTTGTAATCCCGATTTTATTTCTGGAGGAACTATTTTTCGGCTGTATCAGCAAGAAAGGGTTGGAGTTGAACACCACAACCGTTTTGGTCTGTTATCTTTTTTTTTGTACTGCAAGTTTAAAAATGATTGCTATGGGAAATTTTTTTTTTTTTTTTTTTTAATATGTGGTACTTTTCTTTTCTGCTTGGGTTAGGGCTGGGAAGAAGGGATGCTGGGAATGAAGAAAGGTGGTAAGAGGTTCCTGGTAATTCCGCCACCCCTTGCTTATGGCTCTCAGGGACTGTCAGGCCGAATTCCTCCCAACGCCACCCTGCTTTTTGAGGTGGAAGTAAAGCGAGTAAGTATCCTTTTTAGGCTTCCGTGTTTTACCACATTCCTTTTTACAGGTGTTTCACAGTCTGGAATAAGACTACATTGTGACTGTCATATTGGTGCTTTGACATCCAGTAGTTTCTTTTTTCGACAGCCATATTGCAGCAGCTGGAAGGTGTAAAGAAACAAGGCACGGAATAGGTCATGTGATCACTGCTTTATGTGATACTACCATCTGCTGTTTATCGTGTGATCTCTCAGTTGCCTTAAGTTCACGTGTACAAATAAGCAATCTTTAAAAAGAAAATGTAAATGTATAAGATGTTATTTCAGATTGTTTTCCTGAGTATGTTTTGTATCTTTTTCCACCACCTTTTCTGTATAACTCCAATTCAACTAAGGCAAGGTTTAGAATCTTTTTCAAATGAATAATTGCTGTTTGTGCCTTCTATTCCTGATCCTCTTTGTTCATTGTTATGGTGTCACAGGAGCAGGCAGTTATTAAATTTTCTAGTGTGGTCTTTCTTTATTGTTATGGTGTCGCTGGAACCGGAAATTAAGAAAAATCGCCCAGAAGCATCATTAAAGCCTAACAGAAATCCTTAGACTAAATCACTCCTATCCAAAAGTAGAAATAGTGGCTCTAGTTGGGTATTAAACCTCAGTGGTTACATTTGGGCTCCAAAATAAATAATTTTTATTTTTTTCACTGACTGAAAACAGTAGATTGTATATGTGATTGCATGATTATTTAGGAATTCATAAGACTGTGTCTGCCTATTGAGAGACAAAGTCTTTTTTAATGCAAATTAATCATTTTCAGGTGTGAATTGGGTGGTCAGTACATTGCTTGAGCTAAAACATATGCCGCAACTTCTGGAATAGACTGAATCATGGTTTGTGGTGCAGACAACATGGCTGTATTTTCTCCCCCTTGTTTTAGATGAAGCAGAAGGATGCAGGAACTGATCGACAGAGTGTTGGCTCCCGTGACTCCCCCGTGTCTATCACAGAAAGTATTCCTGTGGAGACTCTTCCTCAGCCGCCAACTTCAGTGCCACCAAAACCTGGGTAAGGTCTGTTTTCTTTGTGGTTGTCGACTGGGGCTCCCATTGACATAAACATGATGACTGTAAGTGCTTACTTTGCTGGGCAATGTATCTTTTATGATATGGATTCATTGAAAAAATAATTGAGCGTTTAACATAACGCTAGGGCTGTCTCCATTTCTTTTTACTTCAAGGCTTTGATTATATTAAAGAAAATGTTTGGTTTTTTTAATTTTATTATTGTTATTTATATAGTGCTGGCAATTTTACGCAGTGCTTTACAAATTATTATTATACAGGATTTATATAGCGCCAACAGTTTGCACAGCGCTTAACAGTGCACATTCACATCAGTCCCTGCCCTCAAGGAGCTTACAATCTCTAAGGTCCCTATCTCACATGCATGCATACATACAAGGGCCAATTTAGACAGGAGCCAATTAACCTACCAGCATGTCTTTGGAGTGTGGGAGGAAACCCACAGGAGCACAGGGAGAACACGCAAACTCCTTGTAGATACTGACCTGGCTCAGATTCGAACCAGGGACCCTCAGTGCTACAAGGCAGAAGGAAATTATAAATCATTTGTAAGTAAAATTGCAGAATAATAGCTTAAGACTGAAAATTCTAATGTTTGTATGTGCTTATCATTTCTGGTTGCCCTAAGGACAATTGGTAGATCCATTGAAATAATTCCTGTGCAGAACTGCTGTAATTTAGAGCCATGTATCAAACTTCAATTAGTGAAAAATATGGACTCCCTGACTTTTATACTGCATTCATGGAGTCCTTATGATGCATTGATGGTGCTGTATTCAAGGGTTTGTCTCTGATGGAAGCTAGTACTTTTGAGTGCATAGTAAGCCCCTGTGGGCATACTGGTACAACTTGCTTATTTTTTTTTTCTTTCCCCTCTCCACCAGGGAGCCAGCTGTCCGAGTCAAGTCTAACTCCATCAGTGATCAGCTAGCCGTAAGTTACCGTGTTGTATGTATGCTGGATAAAATTATGGGCTTTATTACGAATATACTGCAAAGCTCTTTAATCCATAGTCCGAAATCAAGACTAATCTTCTGTCAAGGTTGGTTTCCATGACCCACTGGGGAGTTTTTCAGCACACTTGTATGACAGTAAGACAAGAAACAAGGAGAGACAGAAAGACAGACAGGAATAACTACCTGTCAGAGGTTCTAACCCTTCCCCATTTTAAAGCAAAAATGTTTTGTAGAAGTGTGTCTCCCCACTGGAACAATTTCACAGATAAATATGTGAAAGCGATGGGTTTAGAGTGCAAAGTCTTAGGGTTATGTCAATGTATAATAGTCTTGTTTCCATGTCTAATATGTATTTTATATTGGCTCATTACATGTGCCGGTTCTGTATCCTGATCCATTAGTGTTGCACATGAACTGTGCTCTACTTATGCTCTGATATCAGGGCAGATATATTTCACTACACATGTATGTGCTTATGATTTAATAAGCCTTTTGAAGATGAGCTGACCACTGGGTTTTCCTTTCCTGTAGAACCCTGACATGGCGAAAGCAAAACTTATCTCCAGGATGGCAAGGATGGGTCAGCCTATGTTACCTTTCCTTACTGGCAGCTCTACCCCACAGCCAGATTCCAGTGACTCTGAAATTGAGGTAAAACTTTCAAAGTTTCATACGAATAAATTGTAATACCCAAATGTTTGAGTGTATTACAGGCAAAACCTTTTAGTATGCCATCTCCCCCGTTTCTTCTTCACAGATATTTTTTGTTTAAGTGAACCTAAGCAATGGGTGCACTTTAATTGTGGCCTCCACAATTGCCCATACTTGTCTTCACTTTGCTGTCCCACTGATCCATTCAGCCGCTGAAAAGAGAAGTATCCCTGTATAACATCCAATTCCCAAACTAAATCCTACACAGAGCTAAGAACTCTCTCCCCATGTAACAGCACTGTATGCCTGAGTATCAGATTGCCCTCTATAGATAAAGCAAACATTTTCTCTATAGGATCTAAAGAGAATCAGAAACAAATGGACTTGTACAAGGATTAGAATATTCATTTATAAGTTATAATTGTGCAGGATCACCTATGAAAGATGCATATTTTGTCTTATTAAGCTTTTTCTCAGCCCAATCCTGCAGTTTGGGAATCAGAGGCTACCTGAAGTCTAACTGTTGATTAGCGATGGGCTCGGGCGTGTTCGCAGCTCCACGTGCCGAGCACGCCAGGAAGTTGACAGCGCCGCAGCGCCAATCACAGGTACTGAGACATTATCCCGGTCCGCAGCTGCAGAGATCGTGAAATGTCTCCGTGCCTTTTGAATGGCGCTGTCAGCTTCCTGGCGGGCTCGGCACGTGGAGCTGCGAACACGCCTGAGCCCGTCACTACTGTTCTGTTAACCATCTGGATGTCCTGTTACACACTTTCTTCCAAGTTTTGATTGTGAGTAACTGTTACAAATAACGGAGCCTTATAGTTTAAAGGAATTTCAGCAATGCACACTCAAAAGTTGGGAGATTGTTTGATATCAGGCACTCGCAAAGAAAAGGAGTTCTAATCATTCCCCAGAATCCAGTACATTCCGACTTACTGAAATGTTAGCTTAGAGCTGGCTAATAGGGCTCGAGTAGCACTTCTGAGTACAACAGTGCTCTGGCTGGACTGAATGTGGGTGCCCCGGCCTTGTGGTTTGACAGAAACCACAAGTGCTCTGACATTGGTCAGCTAAATTTTCTTCAGGACAGGAACAGTTCCTCCTTGATTTAGTCATTGGTGCCAATGTGTTTTGTGAACCTTTTTAAAGAATAATTCCGCCTTTTGAAGAATCTTAGTTAAAGCACACTTCATAAAAAAAAAAAAAAAATGCATTTTTTTTTTATTTGCATAGGAGCCAGTAAAACATTTCAACCACGATCAGTGGATCACTGGTGCTATACTCTGGCTCCTGCTGACTGTTCATCCCGTCCATGTCTGTACCAAGATGTGGGCATGCACTAATGGGGTCAGGCGGAAGAATGAAAGGACTACAAGTGTGGTGATGTCAACACACTTGTATTCCATTGAAATCCCAAGTCCCTCTGCCACGATGACTGATGGAACTTATAGTTTCTCCTGTCCAAAGGATCTGTGAATGAGTGACATGGCTGTGTGGGCAGCTGTGCTGATCTCATACAGCTGCAGCAGCCTGCGGGGAGAAGAACTCAGATTTAGGTAAAGTGGGGGGCAGTGAATCAAATCTGGTTAGCATAGCTAGCGTAATTGTTTTTCTATTTTATTTTTTCAGCAGTGAATACTATAACCTACTCTTCCCTTCAGTCTTGCCTCTGTATGTACATATACATTGTTGTATAGTAATTATGGTGTTCTTGTTTTAGGATCCAAACACTCAGAGGATTTCTCCGCATCCTGCTGCCCCTCTGCTTGTCCGGCCCACCCCACAAATCAGCCAAACTCCTCCCACCGCTCACATCCCTGCTCCAGGTAATGCTTCCCTACATATTACACTGCTGCATCTTGCACATATGTGAAATAGATATATAGACAGACACATGTGAAAAGAATGTGTGTGTGTATAGCAGAGATCCCAACCTGCAATAAGTCATTTTAGGGAGGTGCCCTCTGTCCCCCCGTGGGGGGGGGTGCAACAACAAGGAAGAGAGCACCCCCCTGAAATGATGGAAGATTGCAAAGAAGCTAATACTTCCCTTGCTATCTGCTGGGTTTTTTTTTTTTTTTTTTAAGTATTCTGACAGCTGCTGCCGTCAGAATAAAAAAGAAAAACAGCATAGGAATGAATGGCTAGATTGCTATTGGCTATTTCTGGCTATTGCACCCGTCCGCTGTCAATCAGCAGAGGAGGACCTGATGGAGAGCTTCAGGTCCACCTCTACTGATTGACAGCAGTGGTGGGCAGGTGCAATAGCTAATCTCCTATTGGCTATTGCAAATTGAAATAGCCAATAGCAATCTAGCTATTCATTCCTATGCTGCTTTTAAAAAAAAAAAAAAAACATTTCTCTAACCTGACGGCGGCCCCGATATCAAGAATAAAAACAAGATAGCGGGGAAAGGTTACTCTGCTAGATAAAGCAGGGTAAACCTTTCCGGGATAAAATGTTTCTCCCCCAGGCATCCGGAAGCCGCTATCTTATAACGGGAGACTCCCGGAACATTCGGGAGAGTTGAGATGTCTGATATAGAATGTGACTGTGATTGCTACCAATAGCATCTTCACCTGATGTTTCTTTTTTTTTTTTATTAGTTGGTTATGAACTGGAGATTACAGTATATAATTTGGTGCTATGAGCAAGAAAGGCAAATTACTTCCTCCAGATATTTGGCAATTTCCAAAGTCTTCTGTGAATGTTTTACTTTATTGGCTTTTCCATTGACAGTCCCTCAACAACAACTAGTGTCTGGTCTCCAATCCTCTTCGGCTGCTCTGTTACCTATAGGACCCATCTCCTCCCAGGCTTTTCCTCCTGGCCAGCCTCATGGCTTTCAGGTATCGTAGAACAGATGATATACAGTATATATAGGTGATTAAGATAAGTCCTACTGTAATAAGAGGAATATGGAAGCAGTAATTTCTGGCCTCATACGTACTTGATACGCTTGGAACTTGATACGCTTAGTTCAGTCTCTCAATTTGGTACCCAAAACTACACCCCGTATTCTAAATATGGCCTTGCCAGTGATTTACACAGAGCAAATGCTATCTACTGTCACTTTTTTTTTTTTAGCACCTTTTTTATAGGGTGATAAAATACCAAGATTCTGTTTGCTTTTGCAGCTGACATTTGGCATTGAATTGTGCACAAGTGTGCAGAGCTAATTGATAGCCAGTATTCCCAGGACATTGTCTGTTTTGTCCATTTGTATAGGTTTTAACACTATATTTTGTATGATAAGTTCTTTCCTTGAGTTTTGTGCTCAGCAGGTATATTTAGAGCATATCAATTGCCGGTTATAATACAGCTGTTTCCCAGTCCATTCATGACCATGTTTTTTTTGTTTTTTTTCCCTCTTTCAGCCATACACTGGAATCCAGTACACATACCCACAGAACCCCACTGTGGGAACCCAGCTGCAGCCAGTTGGACATGTCTACCCCGCTCCCATGCAGCAACCAGCTCCATATCAAGGTACAAAGGGCTTTTTATAATATTTAGGCTTTTGGAATAAAGAAGGAAATCTTTAAAGAGCAACTCTAACCACAAGTATTCTGTTTATTTGGGTGGCATGGAGCAGAGTTCGCTTTCTAGCCTGTTGTGCTGGAGCCTGGCAGGGAGGTCTATCCAAAATCTCCAGAGTACTCTGCCCATATCACACAAGATAGGGCAGTTGGCTCTTAAGAATGCTACGTGTAGTGATCTTGGGAGCAGTTTGCGCTCCTACCTCCTCTTTGATCCATTCAGACTTGTATTACCAATCTGGCATTGTCCGCAACACATTTTCTTTATCCAGCCTCAGGTGATGTCACCTCCTTCTTGATGACGGAAGCCCGACAGCATAACACAGAGATCCGCATGGCCATCGGCAAAGTTATCGACAAGATTGACAATTTGGCCTCTAGAGTAAGGTGTAATTCCTGCTTGTTAAGTCCTGCTTTTTCCTCTGTGACCCTCCCATCTTCTCATGTCTTTCTTTGTCTGTGCAGGTGGACACTCTGCAGAAGGAGAGTACATCTGGAGCTTCTCATCTCCTCCCTGGGATATCATCCATCACTATGGAGAGCGCCATGATCATGAACAACATCCAACGCATAGTCCAGGTAACCAAGCTAGGTTCTTCTAGTACCACCTGTCTAAGCCCTAATTTGAGTTCTCTGGCAAGGAGCTAACCTTTTCACTTGCATATTCAGCAGGGCTGTTTAGTCATGTACACATTTCAGCTCATTAAATTAACTCTGTACCTAAATAAATAAAAGTTTTTACAAAGCCCAGCCTGCAAAGAAAAGGGTTAATCTTGCCTGCCCCACTGCCTGAGCTGCTGATCTTAGCCCTTTTTCAGAGCTTAACTTGCTGAAGAATCTTAAGCACCCCAAATTTCCCGGAGTGTTGGATGCCTAGTCTTCCATTGGGCATTGTGGTTCCATCCACTGGACCCCATGTCACTACAATACAGAGTATGACAGATGCTGGTTAATGGAATGACTGCAAGCAGTCACACACAAGGCATCTGACACACTGGAAGTGTGTTGGATGCAGATTTTTCAGCCACTGTCTCCTGGAAACAGAACAAAGATCAGCGACTTGGGACAGGTAAGTTAAGTCTTATTCTTTACAGACTTAGACTTTTTTTTTTTTCTTTTCCTAGCGACAAAATCTCTAATGAATTCTCAAGGCTGTGTAGCCATTTTATGATAAACTAATTGTTAGGGCAGTTGCTGCCATAGATGGTGGTTTTAAGAGCATTCCCAACACCAAGGAGTAGCAAAAACCCCCGAAAATGCTGGGACTTTTCAGGGGGTATGTCCCCCCTTTGTAAAACAGTTCTCACTTGCTGGATCAAGTTATACATCATGAGGTTCAATGGTGCTTCCCCAATGCCAACCATCGTGATGTAAAAACTGGCGCCATCTAGTGGTGTCAACCTGATGTCACTTCTGGTACACCGCACTCCCTGGTACCGCCAACCACAAAGTGACGGTGAGACCTTTATTTACCACCTTCCACAATTGTCGCAGGCAGTGCCCCTTCTCTCCCCTACTTTGTATGCTTAAAAGATAATTGTTCCAGAAAATGTAATTTACCTTGGTGTGTGCTGGATTCTTAAATCTTTTTAAAGTCTCCAGTCTCGGAGCCCAGCTGTGATTTTGCTCTTTGAAACCCATACAAATAAAATCAGAATGTTTAAAAGAAGTGGGTGGAGCTGGAAACACAGATTCAGAGATATCAATGCCAGAGTTTTTCTAGAGATCATCGCAGCCAGTAAGAGATTGAACTGTCATTTTATATTCTTATGAAATCTGAATTTTGGGAGGGCAGAGCTTTAGGTAGCAGAGTCTGAGAAAACAAAATGATGATTTCACCTAGTGACAATTAAATTTTTTTTTGTTTCAGGAAAACGAGCGTCTCAAGCAGGAGGTTCTGGACAAAAGCAGCCGCATTGAGGAACAAAATGCAAAGATTGGGGATCTTACTCTCTGCTATACAGGGAACTTCACCAATCACTGAGACGTGCAGAGGTCCAATGTCAACCATCATATCTACCAAATGTTTGTAGATGTGATTCTCAGTGGCATCATGCCCATGTAAAGGCAGCCTACAACTAATAAAATATTCAAATCCATTCCTGCCTCTGAGGAGAACTCAAATATTCATTTGCTTAGCGATAAACCCTCCAGGATAATTTTTTTTTTTTTTTGGGATAGCCCACATGCATGCACAGTGAGTATATACTCCATGCAGATAGGGTGGCAACTTATAATAGTGACTCCTTTCTCTTGCAGGTATGTAGAGCAAAGTAACATTCTAATGGAGCAGAGAAATGACTCTTTGAAATCGTCTAGTGAGAACACACAATCCAGACTACTGAATGCCATGCAGGAAAAGGTATGTCAGCACCGGGAGTGCCACTCATGAAACCTCTATTCACAGAAACTAAAGATGCTAACTGATATAAAGTGCTGGCATCTGGGGGTGCAATCACGAACTCTATGCCCAAACACTGGTTCACTCTAAATGGGCAAAGTTCTGGCACTGCTGGTTAGCTTGCCTGTTCCCTCCTGCCCCAATACATTTATATACTAGCCAGTAAGACTGCCTAGTGATGAACTAATAGGAACGTGTAGGAGGGGGCAGACAATCTATTTCAGTGTTAGGAAGTGCCAGAGCTTTGCCCAGTTGGATTGGCCTGTCAATCAGGTGTAGAGGGGACAAAAGATGCTGCAGGGATGTTCAGGAAACTTCTAGGCAATACAATCACTTTAAAGGAAACTGATAAATATGAAGATTGCCATTGCTAATCTTCTGCTAAAAATGCAGAAAAGTCATCTGACTGTCACTGAACGCAATACTTAGGTCTCGTTCACACCTAGGCGTATTGCATATGCGCGTCTGTCGCGCGTTTTTTTACCGCGATTCGTGGTAAAGTCGCGTGACAAACGCGCATTTCTGAAGGCTACTTGGCTGTATCCCAATGGAAACGTGCAACAAAACGGCCCAAAGTAGTACATGTAGCTTTTCAGGCGTGGGCCGTTTTGTAGCGTGTTACGGACGGGAGGAAATACACCAAGGTGGGAACGAGACCATTGAATACAATGGGATTTATATTTTTGAGCGTTTTGTAGAGCGTTCGTCGAGCGTAGAACGCGCTACAAAACATTCAGGTGTGAACGAGGGCTTAGAGACATGGATGTGGAACAAGTAGGCAAACAAGGAAAGCCAAAATAAGGTAATAAAAATTTGTTTTTTTGTGACTCTGAAAGTAGCACAGGATCCTTTAAAGCTGAACTTCAGGTGGATACAAAGACACCTACTCATGTAGGTATGCGTTCAGTAAAAAACAAAATTAAATCAGGTGTACTTTGAAAAGTAACTAGTGTACAGCAGGGCTCAGATTGGGAGGAGGTAGCTGCAGTACTCGTGCTAACAAGAGAAATGCTAAGAGGGGGGGAGAACAGAGCTGTGTTACCTAACTGCAGTACAGAAAATGTGTCCTGTATGGCAGAGCAGAGTAACAGGAATACTAAATGGCTGGTAAAACGTCTCTCGTATGCATCACATCTGGGTATTTACCCGTTTTCCTGGAGTTTGGCTTAAAGGACATTGTCTCTATAAGTAGGATGTCATCCATTTTTTATATACACAATGCAAACTATACCACATATACGCATAGAAATTTTGGCCAAAAATGGTACTATGGGTAGTATGCAGATAGTACAAAAACGTCTGAAATTGCAGTGCACCCCCATCTTCTCTCCTCCCCACTGAGCGCCAGCTGCAAGCTTTGGTATGTGTCCTCTCTGATCCCCGCTGCTCTCTCCCGCCATTTGTCGGCAGGGGCAGCGAGGATCGAAGGGGACACAGAGCGACGGGCACGGCACCGTTCAGTAGCTGCACAGAGGTCCTGCACCCCACTGACCGCTAGCACTGTCCAGAGACACCAGACACAGAATTGAGAGCAGGGAGGATCAGCAAATATGTAAAATATTTGCTGATCCTTCCATGTATGCTCAAACATCAGGGTTTTCATTTCAGACCACACTAAAGTTTGTAAATAACTGAGGACATATTTGGCACGCAGGCGTGGGAGAGATCCATTCTGGAGGATACTCAAGCTGTATCGTGGCAGTAGAAAATATACGCACTGCATTTCCTTTTTGTTCTACTCCCACTGCGATTTTGCTTTCAGACACGACCTCCCCATGAGGGGTCTAGCTAATTGAGAGATCTGGTCTATTTACTTCTCTATTGGTCCATAGCAGGCTGCAGTTCTTTTTCGGATCAGTATCCCCCTGAGGAAGCCTTTCTCAAGGCGAAACATGTTGGGGTATCCAGGGAAATATGGCCTATGCATAATTCATTATGAATAATCAAGACTACTGTAATGTACTGTTCTGCCATCACCTCATGTTTATTTATTGACCAGTTTCTCAATCATGACAATGCGATTTGTATTTCTAAACTATTTTTGTGAACAATAAATTATATTTTTTACATAACATCGTGAGAGCACAAGAGTTTCTTTAAAGCCCCCCCCCTTTCGGGCTCTTGCATACCTGAAAGTGGTATTTATTCGCACAAGGTTATATACATTTATATTGGGGTGTGAAACTTTTTGCTCTCTTCTGTGTTTTCCAGCACACGCCCACTAATGTTATAAATAACTGAGGACATAGTATTTAGTTACTGTGTCCCTAATTATGAATGAATGCTCTACATCACTTTCTCTACATTCATGATTGTGAACATAGTAACTCATATCTACTCCGTTTATGAATGGACAGGAACACCAGTATAGAGGCTTTCTGTTCATTCAAAACAGGGGCTGCAGAAAGAGATTTAGGACTTGTGTCCTCCAATAGTTTTTTCTATTTTTAAAAGAAAAATATCAAGCGTCTGTTTAGACTCCTGATATTTCCCCAGAGCCCCTAACGGTAAAGCGAAGAAAACCATAAAAATAAAACAATTAAACAATTTTAAGATATTTTAAAAAGCTTGGAAAAAAAAGTCGGTTTCAGCCCGACAAATTTGGAGATTTCAGTGGAGCCCTAATATAGTACCGGTATTTTTTTTTTTTTTCTTTATTGATGTCTGTATGTGTTTTTAAACCTGGTCATACATAATCTGGTTATACAATCTCTGCAAATGTACTTCACCAACAACTGTGAAGTGCAAGAGTATAAAGCAGAATCTATTTTGCATGAGGGGTGAAGGGGCAAGAGTACGGCAACACACCCCTTCAAATTCAATATAACCGCATATAACGCCAAATGAGGCTTTTTGGGTGCCAAAAACGTTTACAAACTCGTGTCTAAATAAAATGATCTTTTTATTAATATGTATTAAAACATTTTCTTTAAACCAATAATATGTCTGTCCACCTTTTATTGAGTTAGTCGTGAGTTTTGCAATCCTCTATATTAGCCTGTTCATATGATCTAAAGACTCGACACCGTTTCGCAATAGTGCTTCCTCAAAAGTCCTATGAATCCACAAATGGACAATTACATATTAGTGCCATACAACATATGAATGAACACAAATTATGCATATGTTTTATCATCATTCAAATGCAATCTCCCCACCCTACTTACCTAACAGTCTGTGGACAGTCAACAGCAACAGCCTAGCTATGCAGTCCATTCAAGTTATCTTCAAACAGGAAGGCCCATATTGCATAGCTGTTGGGAAGTCTAAAGGAGATTGTGCAATCAGATTGTACAGTGTGTGGCTATTGTTTTTCAGTTTTTAATGACTGGATGCAAACTAACAATCTCTGCTCCTGTTAAATGTTATTATAGTCAGATAGTTTATCTGCTTATATTAAATGATTAATAGTGGATTGTAAACTCAAGAACTTTGTCTTTCTGGTGCTGGCACATCCCTCCTTTATAGAAGAAGCTGCTTCTGTCTTTCTTAAACTCTTGATTGGCTGGCTTTCTTTCACTGATGCTGCTTTCTCTTTCCCAGCATGCTTTGCACATAGATGAGGGCACATACCAGGTGAGGATTCGGGGAGCTTCTCTCTTTCTCTGCATTTAACTTTTGCTGCTTGTTTTATGTCATATTTCACAGCAAACCATTGCAAGATACTGTAGAGTCGTTATCAGCAAGACCTATCTTATCATTGCTGAAGGAAGGCCTGTTGCTTTGGCTGCTGTCAGAATACCCAAACAGACCTGGCAGCTGATTGGTTGCCGGCTCTGTTCATTCGGAGATTTTGCAACCACCTCCTTTGATCAGCTGATCGAGGGATGCCCGCCAGAAGGGTGCCGACAGCGGCACACACTGTGCAAATTTTGCCCGGTTCCTGAAACCGGCTGAAATCTGCAAAATGTATGCCCAGCTATGCTCACTGCTTTCTTATCTTTACCTGCCTCCAATAGTTTCATCCCACTTCTGCCTATGCGTTCATCTTTCCTTTACAGCCATTACCTGGTGTTATCTCTCTGTCTGCTGGATATTTTTTGTTTCTTTTGAAGAAAGCCTGTCTACAAATAAACAGGGGAGTCATAAATGACTCCTTCCTTTCGCATTGATGACACCTTTTGCTTTTATGGTGACCCTCTTGCTTCAATACTCTGAGTTAGTGACCCTAAGCGAGTGTAATATATATTTTCTGATCTGCATATTTATTCCAAGTTGGTGACATTGTATTGAAGCTTCAGCATAACAGCTAAGCACATAAAAAGAAAAGATGGTAATCAGCCTCCTGTTACATGGTAGGTTTACTTTCAATTATGGAGACTGCAGCAGGAGTGAGACTTCTCAGAGGACGGAGATCCTAATTACAATACAGAGAGTCTATTGCTTGGTGCCCAAGATAAAAAATAAAATGTCAGCGAGAGATTTAACCCACCAGTGTCCATCCAGGACTAAAACATCAGCTTTGGGTGTCCTGAACCTTCACATCTGCTTGCTATTGACAACCACTGCACTGTTCTTCCAGATTTGATATATCGGTGAGTGGTTTGAACCCCTTATGTATCACAGGCCAAGGTGGCAGAGGAGTTGTCAGTTTCGACTGGACACCTATCCCGTCTGCAGCTGGAAATCACATCTTATCAGAAGAGGGAGATGGAGCAGCGGACTCAGCTAATGGCGGCCCAGCAAGAGGCGGAGAAGTGTCATGCTGAGCTTTCTTCTCTCCGGACGCAGCTCATCGGTGAGTGCACTCTCTATACTTGGAGTAGTAGCGCATGTTTTTCATCCTTTCATATACTAGATGTTTTAACAATTCTTCAGAAATGAAAGAAACGTCGGAGCATACCAAGAACCGGGCCAAAACTGAGAAGGACAGCCGGCGGACCCTGGAGCTACGACTGACGGCTCTGGAAGAAGAGATCTCTGACTTGAAGGTGGAGAAGCAAAACTTAGAAAAGGTGACGTCATTTGTATCAGACCCATTTACATCATACAATTGATCGGTACTTAATGTGGATGATATATTAGCTGACTGCATCCCAGGCTTTAGATTTAAAGCTTTGGATAAAGTGGATAAGGGTTAGAACCTCTGTCACATATTTTTATTGCTGCCTGCCTCCTCACTGGGGATATTTCTCCTCACTTCCTGTGTATAGCACAGCAGATTATTTTTGGACAAAGATTGGCCTTCTCATTTCCAACACCTCCCGACAGAACAATGAGGCTGCCCATCTCTAGAACAGCCAATAGGGGGCTCAGGAGGCAATAAGGGGCAGGGCCAAGCTCCGCTTTTACAGACAAACCTGAGTTTTTGGATGCAATTTCATCTGTCTATCTCTCTGGATCTGCTGATCATTTTGACATGCAGTTTTCACTGAAGGTAACCTCTGCTTGTGTACCATTCTATTGTATGCTCAGATTGACTTGCCCAGGTATCATTTCTGTATCTTTTATCTTTTTGCTAACAGCAGGGATGATATTCATTGAGCTGCATTTGTTTCTATCTACAATAACCTCGTTTTGTTACACAGAGCCTTGCAGAGAGAAAGAAGAAGTCTCAGCAGGAGCGGCAGCGGGCTGAGGAAGAGCAGGAAGAGTTGCGGAAAAGTTTCCAGGAAGAGGCTGAAAACTTGAGACAGCTCCTGAAGAAATCCCGGGAGCAGGTCAATAGGAACTATAATGTTTTTAATGCTTAACAAAGAACTAAAGGAAATGTAAAAATGAACCCCCACGGCAAGGGTTAACTGCTCGTCTTGGCCTTGGAGATAAAATAAAATATACTCTCCTGATCCTCAGTCCTGCAGCAGTTAGTGCGCACCTCTCTCCCCCTCTGCTCTGGTGGGGGAATGTCCCTTGGCATCCTCTTGTCTAATGCAGCTGCGTAAGACGTGAGGACATCACGGGCCCTTAGACCACCGGAGACCGGTCTAGCAGCCAGGCCGAACTGAAGATCAAGTGAGGGATATTTTAATTTATTTTAGTCCTTAGACCAAAACGTGCAGTTAACCCTTGCAGTGCAGGCATACCACTGCAAGAGTTAAAGTTTACATTTCTTGGAGTTCTTCTTTTTTCACTTTGGCAAAGCCTTTTTACCTGGTGACTCTTAAGCTGCCCATACACCTTGCGATCGATGATCGAACAGTCGTACAATTGTCGTACGGCGGCCCCATCCTGCCCCGATTATAGCAAGGTTGAATCAGCAGTAATTAACAGAAAAGCACCTGGACGAATTGCGGTAATCGACCGCACGTATTTTCGTCTGCACATGCACAGTGTAAATCGTACAAATTTTGACGTACGGAAACGCCACCAACCTTGCAAAAATCCTACGATCGACCTGAAGTTTTCTAACCTGTTGGTTAGTCAAAAGTCGATCGGTTGCACACTGCCCATCGACCTTACGAGTAGCTTTAAGCTACTCATTGCTTGTCCTGATGTCAAAGGGACAAGAAGGAAGGAAATGTCTCTCAAACAGAGCAGAACAGAGATGGCTATGAAACCCTTTATCACTCCTTTCATATCCAGGTCTTGTCATCAGGGTAGATGGCAGTTTAGCAATTTTTGTTTTACATTTCCAGTCTGAGTTCTCTTTAAGGGTGTTCACATGTGTTGCTTTTTAAATTGCCTCTACTGCTTTTTAAGGAGGAAGGTTATTTTTCCAAATAGGAAGTCAGAGGTTAAAAAACATTATCGGTTTTGATCTTGTGTGAAAGTTGTCATCCTTTCTCTCCCCTTATGCATTCTAAATTATTATTTTTTTCCATTAGCTTTCCACATCCTCTTCCCGCGACCGTGATGAGCAGACATTTTTGGATCTCCAGGAACAAGCGGCACAACTCCAGCCACTGAAAGAAAAGGTGATCCCTATATTAGGATGAAGGATTTAGGGGTGATTTTTATTACTTGAATGCAAGTCTGTGTAATATAGTCCCTTTTATTGAAAGCCCCAGTACCCAGGTATGGGGAGCATGCCACTTACTTCACTTTCTCCTATGTGACAGTGTAGGTGCTTGGTGATTTATCTGCTCAGACACCCAGTGCTGTCACATGGGGAAAGGAAAGAGCCCTCGACTCTGTGCAAACTTCTAGTTGCAACTTAAAACTAACTTTGAGCTTCCTCACTTTGCTCCTAGCAGATGAATGAAGCAGAAGGGGATCATATGGACAGGTGAATGTGGTGGGTAATATTAAAGCCAACCTATTGCTTTGTCTTGCACATTGGCATCGGCTGGGTTGTGGGATTAATGGACAGGATTTTAGCGATGTACAACTCATTTCACCTACCACTGCATTAGTTCCGTCAAACTGTTCTAAATTTTGGATTTTGTGCTGACAGCAAAGTTAAATGGCACGTTAGCTTCTGTTTGTCATGGCAGAAAGAAACATTCAGGAAGGTCCTCCAGCATAATTATTGGGGAATTCTTGAAGAAGCCACTGACTCCTTTCACTCTTAATTTATAAGGAAATACTGCCTGCTAACTGTTCTGATGGCAGCCCTGTTCAGGATACCAGTCAGCCCAGCTGGTTATTTCTGCATTGGGTGAACAGTCTCCCTCAATGCCCGCCACCTAATGCGGCAGGATATGTGTATGTCATGTAGCCCTGCAGACTTCATGTTAAAAATCTGACTTGCTAAGAGATGACTTTTACGGAACTTTTTGACATGAGCCAGGTTGTCATTTCTGCTTATTGGACTTCCCTTGTCCTCTTCAGTGCACAAATCTCCAGAGCCAGGTCACATCTCTCAATGAGAAGCTCAAAGAATCTCGTGTCAGAGAAAATGACATTGATTTGGCAAAGGAACAAGCAGAGGAGGTGAGTGAATTCTTTATATGCACTTTAATTGTGGGCTGTGATCTGAAAATGTACAGAGTGAATCTACAGAGTCTTTGTAAATATTCACAACTTGTAAAGATCTCAATTTGGGTTCCACTTTTAGTGGATACTTTTTATTTTCTGTATTTATTGCAATTTTTTTTTGTAATTGTCTTCTTGATATTAGAGGGTGTCTCAGCTCCAGGAGAAAATCGGTCAGGTCCAGCCTCTGAGACAACAGGTAAATGTCTCTGTCTTCCTCCTCCCCTCCATCGCCTCCTCTGTTCCTCCCTCTATCGCCTCCTCTGTTCCTCCCTCCATCGCCTCCTCTGTTCCTCCCTCCATCGCCTCCTCTGTTCCTCCCTCCATCGCCTCCTCTGTTCCTCCCTCCATCGCCTCCTCTGTTCCTCCCTCCATCGCCTCCTCTGTTCCTCCCTCTATCGCCTCCTCTGTTCCTCCCTCTATTGCCTCCTTTTGTTCCTCCCTTTATCGCCTCCTTTTGTTCCTCCCTCTATCGCCTCCTCTGTTCCTCCCTCTATCGCCTCCTCAGCTTTTTTTTTTTTTTTTTTTTCCTCTCTGCTAGTTCCTCTAACACTACCTGTTTATTATTTCAACCTGTTTATTAACGATATCGGGGAGGGCGTGAATAGCCATGTTTCCATCTTTGCTGATGATACTAAAATTGGGAGGGTAATAGACAGAGACTCAGACATTATAACATTACAGGAGGACTCTCCGCCCCCCCTGCTTTTTTTTTTTTTTTTTTTTACAGCTCAATTCTATCTTGAAGGATTGTACTCCTTGATTTTGATATGTGACCTGCTTGAATATTAAATGAATATGCAACTTGCAAAGGTAGAAGTGATATTCTGATCCATTTACATGTCTGTTTTGTGTCTCCTGTCAGTGCACCCAGCTCCAGGCCCAGGTCATTACCCTAATGCAGCAACTTGAAGACATGCAGACGAGGGATGGAGACAGAAATCTGGCAAAGGATCCCACAGAAGAGGCAAGTTTTCCAGGCAGGGCTGCCACCCAATAGGCATTTTAGCAATCTAGCTGAAAATTAAAGAGAATATTTTGACCAATTAAAACCTTGCAAAGTCCTGCTTAAGAGCAAATTCCAAAAGGTGTCTGCTGTTACCTTTTATTAACCAGAAACTCCTGCTGCATGCACCCCTCTAAACTAAGTTTTAATTGGTTTCTAAAGGTTCCTTGTCGTCCTGCCATGTCCCCTGTTTGGCTTTCTTAGGCACAGTACAGTCCTGCCTTGGAAGCCCATTGCTTATTTTTGGTATGCGTCATATGTGTGCGCAGTCTATTGCATTGGGGTGTGTGTGTGTGTGTGTAATATATATATAATCAGTCATTTTTCTTTCCTGACGCCAATACATGGCAGCATACGAATAGGTATGGCTCCACCCCCAGCCCAATCACAGGACCAGTGATGCTATAAATTAAAGCACGCCTCCCAAGGCAGCCATTATGCCATGTATTGGCGTTGGGAAAGGAAAATTACTGATGGGTAAGTATACAATTTTCCTGACACCAACATGGCAGCATACGAATTGGATATAGCGATCACACAACCAGGGAGGGTAATGCTGAGATATTTATTTGTACCACTGTTAAATACATTCAGAACCAAACTTCACCATTGGACAAGACTCTTGGATAGACCCTGTAAAGGGGCAGGAACATGGACCAGGTTACTGCCTTCCAGAATAACTCTGGAGGTACACCACTAAATTCTATCCATAAGGATAACATCCTTTGGAAGAGCGAACCCAGAGATTAATCTGTGGCTCCATGTGCTTGACCAGGCACAATGCATGTGACCTAATGCACGCAGAGAGCCCGTTTCTGATACTGTCAGAAAGATGAACAGATCGACCTTAAAGAAGAGATAACTGATAATGGATTACTTCCAGCCTCCAAGCCGCTTAAGGTAGTTTTGGATGTAGCACTTGCTGTAGAAGGTCTGAATATTAAGGATGGCTAGAAGATTCCAGGGTCAGAGTCTACAAGAGAGGGTAACCTGGACAGATGGGCCACAAGCAAATGATTGCCATCACCTTACCTGGATAATGGAGGGTCCTATTTATGAACCTGAAACCATTTGCACTGAAGGAGAACATATAAGCATTCAAATATCCACTACTCTTGTCCTTAGAAAGTTCTCTTGACAAGGAGTGTCTGCAGTCTGTGCTCTTGGGGATTGTCATCCAGATGAGATCTGGATAACCCACTTGCTGCTGATCCATAAGAAACTGCTGGATAAGAAACATTCATTGTTGCCCAGGGCTTCATGGCTTATCCATATTAGTTCCATGAACATCATCCAGTTGTTCATTGAACTAATATGAAGGTTCTTTGGATCTGAAAGGCTTTTTCTTCCCCCAATGGACTGTCACTGACCTTGGACTAAGAGGTTGTTGAGGTGATTCGTACATAGGAATCCAATATTAACACTATCACTGGATAGGGACATAGACGATAGCAGTTGAAACAGACTCACCGACTCTAGCCACAACCAAAGAATCTCATTGTTGGAATCATCCTGAACCTCTGGCACAGGGAATGTTTTCTCTGTTGTCTGAAGAACCCTGTTGGAAGACTCTTGGCTTCCAAAAAGTCGAGTTTTTCACCATATGAATTGATCCTGTCAACTTGAGACAATGGGATGCCAAGGAGTAAGATAGAGGTTTGACCTGCCTCAACAAAACACTAGACCACTTGGCTTTCCCCCTTGGAGATCGCTTTTACTGTGACTTTAGATATTGGTGTGTGGTGAGATCTGTACCAACTCGAGGTAACTACAGTCCCGGTTGTGCAATGCAGCATATCCAGAGCAGCCACACTATAAAGTCACTTGCTGATATTAATTCATTCAGAAGCTACCATGCCCCTAAGACCTTATTGCCAGCCAAAAGGTCCGCTTCTGTGTTCTTAGGCCAAGTATGGACTGCCCTGGCAAGTAAGAGTCATTACTGGCCTATGGGTGCGCCAGGGCAATACTCTGTAACTGACTGCCATAGGGCTAGATGGGAATTTGTGGATGTAGCTGCTTTACTGGGCTAGTAATTGACAGTTCATAAAGTACATCACCTCTGTTTAGGGCTTCAGAACCCCACCTCTCTGCCGCTGTATTCACTGCTGCCCCTGCAGGGAAACTTGGCACAGCATCCTGCCAGATGATCACAGGCCATGCACTGCTTAAAGGTTGTACAATCCTTGTGATGCATCCTGCTAGCTGGACTCTAATAGCAGGATCTTGTATGTGTAGCAGCTTTGCCACAGCTTGAAGAGGACCTTTCATCCCAAATTGAGCAGCTTACTCAGTCCTTGGGGAGCAGTGTTGGTGATAAGAGTTATAATCTAGAAGTTCATGCATGTGTACTCTGTACACCTTATAGAATGTAGCTGGTCTCTTGGGGAAGGAGGTTAATTTGGTAATTGAACACATGATCCAAACTCTGCTACCACAGATAAAATGAAGAGAATGATATGATTAAACAGTACCTGTCAGAACCTGCTAGACACTAACAACAATGCTATATACCTGGAAGCCACATACTCTTGTGCTCAGGGTTATAGCACAATAGGATCTTGTCACCAACAACAATGCTGTATATATGGGACCTTGAAAAAGTTTACTGAATAACAGGCAGAATAAGCCTGCAATGAAGCAACAACTCCATAAGTTACATATAAACATTAACAGCACTGAGGAACTACAGGTGACAGCAAAATACTTACATGAAAGGCACCCAAAGAGTTAAACAACACATTTCTGTAAGATCCAGTTAAGAGAGCACTATGGGGTAAGTGTTTTTCCCCATAGTTCTCTCCCCGTAGTTCTCTATCCTCCCGTGACCCAAAGCTCAGTATATAGTGGGCTACTGCTCGTGATATACTGAGAGCGCCGCAGCCTGGAACGGATCCCAATACTGTTGTGATCCATCCAGCTGCATGAGTGACAGCTGGCTCTGCCTATCTAGAGGCAGAGCCATCTGTACCCGCCCCTCTCCCCCATCTGTTCCTCCACTCAGCCCTGGAGGATCGGAGATGGGGGAATACCTGCGGGGAGCAGTGACAGTCACCGCTCTCTGCAGGGAGATGATCGGAAAGTGAGCGAGCGACAGTATGGTTTTACTCCCCGACCTATAGAGCCGACCTGTGACAGCTTATTTGTCACAGGTAGGCTCTAACTATGAGGTTAAGTGGAATTCACTCACCTCATAGTTCTCATTTTAAAGCTTTAGTAGCAGGGCTACAGGTGGCAGCAGCCTGCACGCAAACTAATGGATTCTTAGGCAAATACGTGCAATATTCAGCTAAATCATTAGCAGCAGCACAGAATCACATACTTCCCTGCAATGCTCCTTTTAAGGTTTAGGCACACAGGGAAAACTGAATGGCTCTACAGACATAACAGATATTCAAAACATTCGGCCAGAGCAAAGCAGCACTGCAAGGCCATAGGAAATAGTAGCACATGTATTTCTTAAACAAATTTGAAAGAAAATGGAGTGGATCCTACTTGTCCATGCGTGTGATCATTCCGGTACAACCATAGTTTCTCATGATGCAGCTGAGTCACGGTTCTTCTCTGGAGTCACAAGACGAGGAGGCTAAGCAAGTGTTAAACCCTCCGCCATGACAGAGGAAGCATCCGAATATAAAAAGACCCCAAGAGACCATTTCCCGCACCCCAACGCTATGGTGGAGGCTTCCCTTATAAAATTGCATTTAGCCACCTGAACAAAGGGAACTTCGCAACAGGAGAGGCGGAACCTGTGCTGCAGGCCAGGAAGGTGAGGGCAACAATCGCAAATATTCCTAGTATAACAATCTTGAGCAGTGAAGACAGAAAAAGAATGGCTGCCTTGGAAGGCGTGCTTTAATTTATAGTATACCCATTCGTATGCTGCCATGTGAGTGTCGGGAAATATATATATATATATAATATAGAGCTGTCCGCTGTTGTGGTATCAGTGTTGTGATTAGGGTGCACCCTGGCACACCCCCTGTGCATATGGTCTACCTGAGTGAGGTTCAGCCCACATTTGAAAATCTAGGCCAAATGATTCCCCACATAATGGTAGCCTTGTAACTACTATTTAAACAGCTGATCTGCTGGGGTTAGGAGCAGGGGACTGACACCAGAAATCGCACAGAGATGTGTGGACAGGTATTTTTTATTTCTGTCTTTGTGTTGTTGTGTCTGTCTGTCTGTCTCTCATTGAGCGAGAGCTGTGACCTGTGTCGCCTCTCGTGTGAGCGTGTGCGCGCGTTTGTGCCTTTTTTTTTCTAGTGTTGTGCTATTGTTAACGCTGTCATAGGGGACCTCTGGCAAGGACCAGTTCTCAATCCCGCAGTAGAGGGACTCAGAAGCTGCCCATACAGCGAGGTCCTTATTAAGATACTCCTTGTTTCTACATTCTCTACCACTAATGGCCACATGCATATCTTTGAATGTGTGTGTTACATTTCTCTGTCAGGTGAAGATGATCATGAATGGGGTCTTTCAGTCTCTCAGGAAGGAGTTTGACCTGGAGGAAACGTACAGTGGGCGAGTGGTGTTGGGCACCATTATGAATACTATAAAGGTAAATGGCGTAAGAAGGAATACATATACAGTTGTTGTTTATTTCTGTTTGTCACACAGCTTTCCAGTGCGCTAGAAAATAACTACAATCCTTACACTGGGATCATAGGTTGACCTGAATGACCTTCTTGTTGTTGAGGGAATGCAGGATTATAGTGAGCTGTCAGGTAGTGCTGGAGCTTGTAGTTTTTCAGCAGAAGGAGGCCCTCAGACTGGCAGAATCTCTCAGGGGGTTCTTATTGTGCAAAGATGATCACTCTTCAAAGGTTTGCTTTGGGAACATGGCCAAGCATACAATAGTAAATAAAGAAATTAAAGCAAACCTTTTTTTATTTTGAATGAATAGGGAAGACCCCTGTCATTTTCTTTTTTCTGTGTCCCTTTCTGCAGATTTACCTTCACTTCCTGTCTCAAAGACACAGCCTCCTCAGCCCTGTGTAAGCTCTATTAGAGATATTCCAAGTTTACATGGTGCTTTGTAGGGATGCACAGATACTTTTCGAGTACAAGTGCCGATACTTGGCATTTTCATGAGAACTACCAGGGTTGCAGCGTTTGCAGCTGGGACCTGGCTCTGGTGCTCCACCACTGTCCTGAAATCATTAGTCTGTATTGTTTTAGAAAAACTGTCACATGACAAACAAATATGTATCAGTACTTGTATCTGTGAGTACCTGGGCCAGTATCCGTACTTGTAGAAAAATGGTATTGGTGCATCCCCTTTATTTATATTTATAAAGACAAAATCGTACATTAAAACAGATGTACAAATCCCAGGAGCTCCGTATGCTCCTTACAAATGACAGCTGCCTCCTAACTTATGAATTTTCCTCTAGTCTAGTCTTGGAGCTGGAAAAGTATCTGTATATGTACCTGTACCGAGTACTGTACTTTGGTATCGGTGCATCCCTATTGCTTTGTTTCGCTAGTTCTGGCTGCTGTTGCAAAGTGAAGGAAAAGTAAGAATGTACTGCTCTGAAGGGAGAGTAGTCAAGTAAACCTGTTGCATTACTCTGCATGGACAAAGCATGAGTGTGCTTTAAGCAATATTGACACCCCCCCCCATTTCACCCACCAGCATGATTTCCCAGTGCAGTAGATCTTTCTAATGCATTCAGCCATCTAACGTTAGTAAGATTTAAAATGTTCAGTTTATAAAAATATTTTTCTGCAGAGGCATCTACAGCTTACCTGTCATAAGGGTATGTTGAGGAAGCCATTGCAGTAAAATTTGTCAACTACAAGAGTAGAGAAAGGAGAACTGTTGTTTGCTGCAGGCTGTTATCAGTGGTGTAGTAAAAATGACAATTTTCCTTTTGTGCCTATTCTAGGAAATCATGCACTGTTGCAGATCAAAGCGAAAGAATGCCTTTTTAATAATGCAAATATAACCTTTTTTGGGCTATTTTATATGCATCAGGTTAACAAAATATTACATTAAAAGATACAAAAAAATGTATGAGTACTAATTTAGTAAATCAATTATCTGCCAGGCAACAACACTACATCTGTTGAGTAAGCCACAGAATGAGGAGGCAGCAGCAGCAAGCAGCAGTGGTGAAGAAGAGGAGGAAGATGAAGGTGCAAAAACTGAAGTTGTGGAACAGCCTGCACTACAGAGAGAACAAACATTAAACCGAGGTGAAGTGCATGCAGAACTCGAGGAAAACAAGACTTCCACTTCAGAGCAAGTTCCTTGTGTTGAAGAGGTGAATCCTGAAGAGGTCAATGTGCCTACAGAAATAGTAGGCAATCAGGAAATGGGTCCTACCTCTACAGAGCTACAGGAATCGGGTGAAGACGAACCCGTCAAAGTCATCCAGGAAGATCTGGACTCTCCATCCGCTCTTGTTCACATGATCTCCAGTGATACCCCAGAATCGAGCATGGTGACTGACACTGCGGAGGACCTAGTAATGTTTGCTGAAAAGGATGTTCTTCAAGAGAATCCTCCCCCAAGCCCCAGTGATGAATTGGCCAGTGAGAATCCCGCTGAGAATGAGTCTCAGCAATCAAATGCCTCCATGACTATAGAGGAGAAACAAGAGGTTCCACCGCTTTTAATTAGTGATGATGACAGTAGCAGCCCGGTTCCACCAAAAGAGGCGACCCCTGCTCTTCGATCAACTGGAATCCATGTAACCAAGAGTCCTACTAAGCCAGGGGAGAGGACAGATCTCAGGTTAGAGGACTATAGCACAACATATAAAATAGGCCAAAGATAAGTAAAAAAAAAAAAAAACACTGTCTGCCCATCAGTAACACAATTAGAAGTTGTAGCAAAAAGTTCCATGAAAACCACAAAGTGCCAAAAATACTCCACCTGGAAAGTAATGGAGTCAAAGGAAATATCCTACCTCTTGGATGCTAATCCAAAACCCGACCCTCACTTCCTGTGCAGAGCAGCATAGCCCACATACCCATCTGCTTTTGTTAACTGTTCTTCCTCCTAGGGATAGTGTCATACCACAGAGGTTTGTAATGTCACCCAAAAAATACTTTGAGAACAAGAACATTTGCGTTTGCTTCAGTTGAGTCTTGACATTTTAGTTTATACTATTTGTAAGTGACACTTCTGTCACTGGTGTTAAGTGAACATAAAGATGGGCTTGCCCCTCCACCCCCTTTGGAAGTGGAGGCTGTCATTCACATTATTAATCTAATAGCAAGTTGAGAGAGGGGGTGGGCTGATCCTTCACTTTGTGCTAAAAAATGAGGTCTGTGTATTCCAGCACACAGGATTTAGGGGGATTGCAAAGATCTGTAGGGTCCTTGCTTTTCATTACTGAAGGTGATTTATATAAACTGATTCACAGGTTCACTTCTTAAAGGAGAACTATGAGGCGAGTGAAAATCACTCAGCCTCATAGTTCTAGCCGACCTGTGACAATGAAACTGTCACAGGTCGGCTCAATAGATCGGGAAGTGAGTGAACACATACCAGCGCTCGCTCACTTCTCGATCTATCCCTGCAGAGAGCCGTGGCTGAACCTCACGGCTCCCTGCAGGGATTTCCCCCCCTCTCCGATCCTCCAGCGCTGACTGGCGGAACGGACGGGGGAGGGTGCGGCGTCTCGGTACTGAGCATTGGGTGACTGGAGGACGCTAGTTTGTGTCCTCCCGTTACCCTTAGGAGAACTATGGGGAAAAGCCTTAACCCCATAGTTCTCCTTTTAAGCTGTTAAAACCAAATCTCTTGTTTAAGAGCAGACGGTGCTGAAGGTGCCTTTTTAGTCGTGACAGGTCAGTGACGGCTTAGTCCCAAAGCCAGGTCAGTCAAGCTCCTTGCTAATAGAAGGAATCTAGTGTCAGAGGGGTGCACAGAGCAGAGTATTCTGACTGTTAAGGTAATAACAGGAACTTTGTGGCATTCATTGTTAGATTGTTCAAAATGGAGAGAAAAAAAAATAACTACAACTAACCAATCAAGAAATGCACAGCTGATATTGGCATAAGCCGGTATTGGAAATTACTTTTGTTTTTACTAAATTAGGCACCAAATTTCCATTGTTTCATTTCAGTCTTGGCGAGTCTGATGATGAAGATTTGTTTAAAGCGGCTTCTCCGAAACAGAGGACAAAGCAAGAAGAGGAAGAGGAGGAGGAAGTGGTAAGCGATTGAGCCCACCGGTGTCATCCTGGGCGGGGAGATCATTAAATGATCTCTGTAATTTGGCATCCATGTGGACAGAATTTAGAATCATGACGAGCCTTGGTGTCACCATTAGTTTCCTATGAAGTCATTTCCTATTGATTTGAATGGAGAACCTTGTATTTTCAGTGGATAGATAGAGCTATATCCAACAAACAATTATTTGTAGAGGAAGGGAGTGTTAGAACCTTTGTCATGGTTTATTGATGTCTCTTTGTTGGACAGATTTCCCCTTACTATAGGGCTCATTTCTAATAGAGAGAGGATAGAGGGTTACAGTCTCTTCTCTTGGCTTCTCATTTGGGAGTCCCAGAGCTGGCAGAGAGCTTATAAAGCACAACACTGTACTTTATTCATTTTTAGGGCTGGTACTGATTAAAATTTTCGTGTTCGATTAATTGAATTTGTTTTTTAATCGATTAATTGGCCTATACACATACCGCACAGCAATGAAGTAATGAACTAGGATCACACTAATCCAGCACGTTATTAATCTCACGTGCCCCACTCAATATGGCCGCCGCTTGAGTGGGGCAACTCAGAATAATAACGTGCTGGATTAGTGTGATCCTAGTTCATTACTTCATTGCTGTGCTGTATGTGTATAGGCCAATGCCTTGGCTGGCGCTCGTGCAGAAAGTTTCTTGGGCAAACTCACCGGCCCAAGTGGCTCCGTCAGCTAACGAAGAGAAGGGGGGAGGAGTCCGGTGACTTCACCGGACTCCTCCCCCCTTCTCTTCGTTAGCTGTCACGGACATCAACGTCACCGGACTCCTCCCCCTTCCCTTCGTTAGCCGACGGAGCCACTTGGGGAAGGGGGGAGGAGTCCCGTCGATGTCCGTGACGTCACCGGATCTCCGACGGGACTCCCGGAAGATGGCGGAAAGGTGAGTGTTCTCATTAGCGATCTTAAGAATTTGAATCGATCAAAAAGTTTAACGATTAATCGAGAAATTAATCGTTAATTTCCGCAGCCCTATTTATTTTTTTAAAAAGCAGCAGTACGGCGATATAAACTGGCCCTTCCT